AAGTAAGTGATGATATTTAATTAAACTAATTCCTGCAAGTTCACATAACTTACTTGCTTCAAGTATACTTACTATATCCTATATTTTATATATCAAATTTTAGATTCAAGCTACATTTGGTTGTGAAGGATGACTCTGCAACATGTACTGTGATGTTGCTAGACTCTGTTGGTAAGTCCATAGTTGGAGTGGATGCTGAAGAATTAGGGGATGGCTCTTATGAGGAGGTATATTTTGATATGATTTTTTGTTTTGCAGTAACTTTCCCCCACAATAATTGTTTAGCTTCGATCCTCATATATTATTTTATTTATAACAGATTGAAGATCCAGAGCTGCTACCACAACCTATTCGTAGGTTGATCGGAAAGTCTTTTTGTTTAGGGATTTCCATAACCTCAGATAATGTCACAAATGGATCAGACACTTTTGTTGTTTTAGAGGTTTGTTCTGTAGATAAAGTTTTTTCTATCGAGAATGACTCTCAATCAAATTCTGATATGGTCACAACTTCTTCTACTATGTCATCTGGATCTGTAAGTATATTTTTTTTTGTATTAAGCTTTTTGCATTATAGTTTGATCCGTGTGTGCATTATCATAGAGTCTAATAGTAGTCTCAAATTTAAATGAGTTAGGTCATGATGTTGGATCAAATTTCCTCTGATGAGTGTCCTACTCCTATAACTAAGCGCAAAGACGATGACTATGACCTACAAGACCTAACCTCTTCTTCGAAGAAACAATGCACCAAGCTAATCAAACAAGAGAAGACGAAGACCGATTAGACTGAAGATCATGGCCTATTTCCAATATCAAATTCCTTCCCTTTATGTTTCAAGTTGTTGTTATGCTGTTAATTGTTACTCTGTAAAAAGACAATTATATTTGGACAGAACTTTGATTTGAAATAAATGGTAATGGTTGGGGTTGAGGAATAGGAGATAATGTATATATATCTCTACATTTTTATAAAATAATATAATAATGAAGAATTGTTATTTGGAGTACCTCTAATCATCGTTTTAGCTGATCACACCTATTAAAAGTTTTATCCAAATATACAACTTCAATAATATACGTTAATCGAATTATGAGTTTATTATCATAATCAATCAACACAATTTTTTATTATAAATTTATAATAATAAAACAGCTCCTATGAAGATTATATTTTATGATTGCGAGGTTTGTGTTCTTTTCACACAAAGAAAAGAAAAAAATTATAATTTTTTAAATTTAACTAAACTTTTCACACAAAGATAACAAATTTTCTTTATTTTATCATTAAGATACTTGATATACATTATCTGTGATCCGTACAATTTAAAAAAAAAATTGACAAAGGAAACAAACCCGCCCTTTTAAAACAGAACGTTAAAATGTATAATTATATCATGTTGTTTTACATAGAAATTGAATAACATCAAAACAATAGAATCTAAACTTTTCAAACAAGAACAAAATATTATTGCATCGAACATACATCCGCGCGGGTGCGCGGGTCAAAACCTAGTTTACACTTATGTTCCAAGCTTGGTTCGAATCCAACAGGGTGGGGTAATGACACGAGAACGAAAAAGAAAAAACCGGCATTAGTGGTTATAAACCACCGGAAAGGATTTTTCGGTGAATGTTTTGGGTTGATCTTTATATTATACACATCTCTGAATATTTAATCTTTTCAATGTTTTTTGTGGACTTGTCTTTTAACTAATGTTTCGGTATTGTCAGTTTTTTAATTCTCAGGTACTTCGACTAATGAATGAATCGACTGATCTTTCTCTTTGTTTCTACCTCGTTGTCAAACACTAGCTACTTTACGGTTATTTTCATCTGTGCATTATTTTCAAATTTACAAATAAATATCACCTCGGCTAAAACTCATCATACAATGTAACATCATTTATTTGTTGTTGACAAGGCTTGGATTGACTTGATCATTCGTTAAGCTTCTTAAATTGTCGCACATATTTTATGGTCCTTATTATAGATGTGTTCCATTCGACAAAGTAGCTGGATTTGATCAAAGACGATTTCCTTTGTAGTCAGCTTAATCGAGAAAAAGGTTTATTACACACAAGAAAGTAAATTTGCACGTATGCATTTATTTGTCACACAATTAAGAGCATTAATCTTGGGAACGCAAACATATAGTTTTAATTTCCTTTCTAACATATGCATGTTTTAAAATTTTTATGTAAAGTTTGTAAATATATAACCCATAAAGGAAAATAATAATTTTTATTGTAAAGTGTCGTAATCATCTATGAAAATCTCCTTGGTCCAATGATTTAAATAAGAGTTTATTAATATTTCTACATCAGTACGTCCGAGTTTTGATTTCCGACGAAGATAGAATTATGCAAAATTAAAAGAGAAAATGTTTACAAGAGGTATACATCATAGTGTAAGAAATACCGTTAAGGATGGATCCTATAGGATAGCTCAGGTGATACAATTAGTTTTTGATTCCTCATAAGACTTGTAAAATTGTCAGTTGTAGAATCGTCGTCTGTAACATTTCTAATATTTTGTAATATAATAAATATCTAGTGTTAATTAGCAGTTTTTTTTTTGAAAAAATAAATTTTATATAATAAAATTACTAATATAATCCATGTTATTATATGCTCAATATAAGAGCAGTTATATAAAGGCAAACGTGATTATCAAAACCCTAATTTCTAATCAACTAGCAGCCTCTCACTTTCTTCTAATTCATTGGAAGATGACAATGAGATTGCTCGATCTTCCATTGGATTTAGTAGTTGAGATACTCTCTAGAGTTCCAGCTACATCTTTGAATCCACTACGCTTTACTTGCAAGCGATGGAACGATTTATTCTAGCAATGATCACGATTTCATTAAAAAAATACTTGGATAAAGCAGACAAGCAGTGTATGGTCCTCATGTTGAGTGATTTAAAAGTCTATTCAATGAGTGTAGACCACGACAGAGTTCACGACAACGTTGTTGATCCAAAAACGTTGCTGAGCCTCAACGATTTCCATAATACTTCTCAACGAGTTGAGATACGTAACATCTTTCACTGCAACGGGTTATTGGTTTTGTATTTTATTTTGTCAAATGTGTTCTATGTTTGGCTCCAATTGAAACAAGGGAACATCTACTCTTTAGTTGTAAGTGGACTCAGAGGATGCAAGATGAGAGTTTCTTGGGATGATCATCAAGGGAACACAGAGACGGTGTCAAGCAAGTGACGAAGCACAACATCTGTAGTAAACTTGGATCAGTGACTCAAAACAACAAAAGGTCTTTTCTTGTCCTCAAGTTGCAAAAACGAACTATTTGGTCCACCATTATAGGTAACGGAACAAAACATAAAACACTGAGATCCATAACTTTCTCTACTAGTTTTTTTTTTTTTTTTTTTTTTTTTTTTTTCAACAACTTT